GCCGCCGCGGCCGTCGCCGACATCGCCGTCGCCGCCGCCGCGGACGTCGCCGCCGTCAACGCCGCAGTCGCCGCCGTCGCCGCCGCGGACGTCGCCGCCGCAGGCGTCGCCGACGTCGCCGCCGCCGCACGCGGGCGCACCTGCACCTCGTGGCGGCCGTGCCCGCCGGGGCCCGCGGCGGCGGGTGCGCCCATCGGGCGGTCCCGCCGTCCCTTGGCCCCGCTCTCCGCCTCCGCCGGCCGCTGTCTGTGGGATTTCCCCTGAACAGCAGGCGCGTGCGGCGGTCGTCTCTCAGGAGAGCGCTCCCCCGCGATAAGAGAACTGGCTCGAACCCACGGGGAGGGAGGGCGGGAGGGTGTGTGGCGGCACCGGCTGTGCGCTGCGGGCTCGCTCTTGTCCAGCCCGATCGTCGCCCTCCTCCTGCTCTTGCCCTCCCCCCTCCTCTCCTCCTCCTCCTCCTCCTCCCCCTCCTCCTCCTCCCCTCCTCCTCCTCCTCCTCCTCCTCCTCCTCCTCCTCCTCCTCCTCCTCCTCCTCCTCCTCCTCCTCCTCCTCCTCCTCCTCCTCCTCCCCCGCTCCTGCCCCTCCAAGGCCCCCACCGCCGCGCCTCCGCCCTTCGAGTCAGAAGCGCCGCGGACAACGGCCGACCCCGCGCGAGTAGGAGCGGCGCCACGCACGAGGGAGGGAGTAGAAGGGGCGCGACCAGAGGGAAAGGTGCGATGGAGGGGGATGAGTAGAGAGGACGGTGGGGGGAGGGAGGGGGAGGGAGGGGAGGGAGGCGGGGGAAAAGAAGACGATCGAGGGATAGGGGAGGGACAAGGGTGGGGAGGGAGCGAGGAAGGGGAGGAGCAGAGGAAGAAGCGAGCAGCGAGAGGAAGGAGAGGAGGAGGGTGCAGGAGGGAGGGGGGGGACAAGGAGGGGGACTGGGTGGAGGGGCAAACGTGCCTGCCAAGACGAGAGCTCATCGCTGGAAGTACTCGCGGCCACGTGTGTATCCAGCTCTCGCCCGGGCGGGCCAATTCATGAGTCATGCGTACGACGTTTCTTGGCAGTGGGGAGAGGGGAGGAGGAAGAAGACGAGGGAGGAGGATGCAGGAGGAGGACCAGGAGTGTTACTGCGTATCTAAACATGTTGTACTTGCTTCTGAGAAGGAGGCTCCAGAGGAGAAGGGGTGGAAGAACTGGGGTGGGGGGCGCAGAAGCTCAGAGCTGACTCTATGCGCCAGGGGGTTGAGGCGAAGATTCAGTTTCGGTCGGTGGCATGATGTTTTTGTTTCGAGCGAGCCATGCATTTTATCAGCATGAGGCGAGGCGCGCTCCGATGTCGTTCAACCATCTCTCCGCCATTGTCGCCTCCAACTCCTCCTGATCATCCCATCCCTTTGTAGGGCCCCCCTGGCCTGGGCACCGATCGCTTCTCAGGCTTGATGAGCATTGGAGGGCACCTTGTGCTGACAGTGTGTATCGCCCGCTCGAGGGAGACAGTACCTTAACAGCAGCGACACGGCAACCCCGCATCCACGACCCCTGGACGTCTGGAGCCAATTTGGAAAACTGGCGCCCCCACAGCTCTTTATCCTTCCTCCCGTCATCCTCCTCCCTCCTCCGTATCCCCATCATATCTGCTTCTCCCTGGACCTCCTCCTGCCTAGTTCTCAAAGCAGTGCTTGTGCTCAGGGGCTCTTACTCGTGTGCCTCAGGAATTTGATGGGTCCTGCGAGGTTTCGCCACGTTGGCGCCCGCTGCCGCCTGGTTACCAGCTCGTGCGCTGGGCGGGTCTGGCGAGGCTTCGTCACGTGGCCACCCACTGCCGCCTCGCTGCCGTCTCTTGAGCGGGGTGGATCCGGCGAGGTTTCGCCACGCTGGCGCCCCTTGTCGCCTGGTTGCCGCCTCGTTGCCGCCTCGTGCGTCGGGTGGGTCTGGCGAGGTTTTGCCACGTTGCCGCCCGTTGCCGCTTGGTTGCCACCTCGTCCGCTAGGGGGCTCTGGTGAGGTTTCGCCTCGTGGACGCCCGTTGCCACCTCGTTTGCGCTGGGGGGTCCGGCGTGGCTTCGCCACGGTGTCGCCCGTTGCCGCCGGGTTGCCGCCTGTTGCCTCCTCGTGCGTTGGATGGGTCCAGCGAAGTGCCGCCACGTTGCCGCCCGGTGCCGCCTCGTTGCCGCCTCGTGCGCTGGGTGGGTCTGGCGAGGTGTCGCCGCTTCTTCATGCGCTGGGTGGGTCTGGCGAGGTTTCGCCACGTTGCCGCCCGCTGCCGCCACGTTACCGCCTCGTTGCCGCCTCGTGCGCCAGGTGGATCTGGCAAAACTTCGCCACGTTGCCGCGCGTTGCCGCCTCGTTGCCGCCTCGTGGCCGCCTCATTACTGTATTGTGCGCGGCGTGGGTCCGGCGAGGTTTCGCCACGCTGGTTGGGCCGGATGGGTCCCGCGAAGTTTCGCCAGGTTGCCTCCCGTTGCCACTTCGTGTGCCGCCTCGCGCGTTGGGTAGGTCCGGCGAGGTTTCGCCACGTTGCCGCCCGTTGCAGCCTCTAGGTTGCACCACGTGTTTTGCACCACATACCTTACACCACATAGCTTGCAACACATAGTTCGCACATCCACAGTACAGTGACTTTCTGTTTGGGGCCCACGTTGGCCAACATAGTTGTCTCATGCATGAACCTCCTCCTCCCCATCCTCCTCCTCATCCTCCGCCTCCTCCTCCTCCTCCTCCTCCTCCTCCTCCTCATCATCATCATCATCATCATCATCATCATCCGCATTCCCGTCTCGTCCGTAGGGTGCCTGCTAGTGTTGGCCACACACCCCTTCAGGGAGGGCGGGGGCTCGCTAAAGCAGCGTCAGTTTTTTTCAGCCGTGGGTTACGGTGGATACTCCCATTGAAGGCCAGAGCACATGGAGTCGAGAGATGGAACCGCATCGCTGATAGATTGGCGATGTCGGGCTGGAGAAATTCGGGGCTCCTCGAGGAGCCGCATCGACGATGCGCCTGCGATGCGGCGTGGTCCTCCGACCTCATCAATTCTGGCCCCCCGTGGGAGGCCTGAAACTATAAACTGCGTTGTTGGACTACCGTGGCCCACGCGAGGAGCGGAGAACCGACGAACAAAATCGAAAACGCGGCGAGGAACCGAGAAACGCCCCCCAACTGACAGCCAAACGACACAGCCCCAGGGAGCTCGATGGTTTTTTGTTTTGCGCTTTACCAAAAAATCAGCCTGTCATGGTCACCATGCAACCCGCAAGGGCAAGCCATAACTTGCAGCCCCTTGCGCCACGGCGCCCGAGGAAGGGGGGATAAAAAAGGCATGGGATATACATACATAAACATACAGAGAGAGACCAAAACAAAAAAGTGATAGAAAATGACAGATGGAAAGGCTGGGGGGGGGAGAGAGAGAGAGAGAGAAAGAAAGAAAGAAAGAAAGAAAGGAAGAAAGAAAGAAAGAAAGAAAGAAAAAGAGCGGGCGGCCTGAAGGCCGCGCCAGGTGAATCATACTGGCGGCGGCAGGGACGGACGCCAGCAGCGTGGAGGAGGAGGATGAAGGGGCCCGGGGACACACAAACAAAGACACACAAATCCAAGGATGACCCATATGTTCTCATGTTTTCTGATTTTCGTCTCCCTCCCCACTCCCATATTATCCCACATAGTTTCGTGGAAGTCGACGTTTTTTCTGTGTGCTTCTTCCCCTGCCGCCCTCCCGCAACCCTTGCCACCGTGGTTTGCCACGGCCGCCCACCGCGCTCTGGCCCTGCGCGCCTGGCTACTGCTGTCCCCCCCGGCTGCTCATCGTCGAACTCTTCGACGTCTGAGCGTCTCTTCTTCCTCTCGGCCGTCCCCCCCCCCCTCTTTGCCCGCCGGCCAATTCGCTAATGTGTGCCCCTTTCTAGCTTCTCGCTGGAGCGGAGTTCGCCGCCTCGCCGCTGACGAAACAGTTTCTTTTTCCCATACAGTCCATGCGCGATGATGAGAATTGCCAGCGTTCCCACTGAGGGAAAGGGAACTCCACCAGGCGAGGCACCAGCCACGAGGAAGAGGGAGAGTGAGCAGCGAGGCGCAGCGGGAGGGGGGGGGGAAGATTTGTGAACACCGCCGGTGCCGCGTGCGAGCGCAGAGCACTGCTTCCTTCCGCAACGCACTGTCAACGCCGCTGGCGAAAAAGTGCTTCTTCCCCTCCCGAGAGGAAGGAGCAAGAGCCGAGGGAGCACGGGCAGGGGCAGCCGAGGAGGAGGAGAAGGAGGAGGAGGGGGAGGGGGAGGAGGAGGGGGAGGAGGGGGGGGGAGGAGGAGGGGGAGGAGGAGGAGGAGGAGGAGGAGGAGGAGGAGGAGGAGGAGGAGGGAGGAGGAGGAGGAGAAGGAGGAGGAGGAGGAGGAGGAAGAGCCCCAGGCGGCCCAGAGCGAGGGCGGCGCACTAAGCGGAGGCGCGGCAACCCGAGCGGCCAGCCCTACCCAGCGGCGGCGCGCGGCCGCGGCCGCGGCGGCGGGGCGCGGGCTCGGGGCGCCGAGCCCGTCTCGAAAGACCGGGGAGACGCAAGACTCGGGTACCAAGGGCTCCCAACTTCGCGCTTCGCGCTGCGCGGAGCGCGAAGTGCGAATGACTTCGCGCCCTCGCGCCGCCTCCCAGGGGAGAAGCAGGAGGAGGAGGAGGAGGAGGAGGAGGAGGAGGAGGAGGGGGAGGAGGAGGAGGCGGAGGAGGAGGAGGAGGGACCGGAGCCGAACCGCGAAGCGCGTAGCGCGAATAACTTCGCGCCCTCGAGGGCGCCCTTGGGTACGGGGGACTCGGGTTAGCCCGACGGGGGCCACCATAAAAGTGACGGGACCCCAATCTGGAATGTGACGCGGGCTCCCGCTGCAGACATCCCACGAGAACGGAACCGTCAAAAAATCCAGGACGCGCTCGTCAAGAAAAAAAGATCGGCAAACCCGAGTTCCGGCTTTTCTCGAGTCTTACGCTGCGGGGTGGCGGCAGGAGGGAGAACCAGAGTGGTGGTTCTGTGGCGACTCATGGGAGCCTCCCCCCTTGTCCTGTTGGCTCTTGCAGGTCGGCGCCGAGCGGCGCCAATCAACGCTGATCGACGGGAGTCGACGCTGGATCGGCGCTACCTCATCGATCGCTGGGCGCGAATCGATGCTGTTGCACTCTAGAGACGGAACTGCGAGGGTACAGTAGGGGCCCGACCGCAAGAAACCTCCCACCAGAAAGCCAACCCTGAGACCCTTGGACGTCCACTGATTTTTGGCGTGGGAGCGTCACGCTTTCCATCGCAAAACCATCGAAGCCCAAGAAACCCAGGGCACCCTGGAAGCAAGCAGAGCGTTCCTTGGCATGGGTCCTCACGGTACGCAAAGGCTTCCATGACTTCTGCCGAGCGGTGGCCGAACGCGGGTTGCTCGCGCCGGGGGGGAGGTCGGCGGAGGCGCCGCGGTCGGGGGGCCTGGCCGCCGCTGCAGGCTGGCCAGTCGCTGGAGCGCGGGGGGGGGTCCTGCCCGCGGCGACCGTGCACCCCTGCGCAGAGTCAGGAAAACTTTCGGCTGAGAAGATGGGCTTCACGCCAAGCGTTTTCTTAAACTGTAGTTCAGGTCCAGATCAACGGGCGCTCTGCAAAGAAACGACGCCCCCCAAGAAAACGCCGAGGGCCCCGTGCAGATTCTTGATCCTCGTGGGCGAAATTTGGAGCACACGAGAACTGACGCTTTTTCCTGTGATTTCTGCTGGGCGTAGTGGCTGGGGGAGGCGCCGCGGCGTTAGGGACGCTGGGGCCAACCCCCATTACAGAATCCCCCCCCAAAACGGGGCGACCTTCTTGAAGGACCAGGGCCCCACCAGTAGCAGAAAATGACGATTCGCCCGCGACACGCGCCGCGCAGCAACGACGACGCGCTGCTGTGGAGCAGCCTCGCCAGACCCGTCGAGGGGTCGTCGTCGCTGTCGATGTTGCCGCCCAGGCCGTGAGGTTCGTCCTCCCCCTCCTCCTCCTCCTCCTCCTCCTCCTCCTCCTCCCCCTCCTCCTCATCTCCTCCTCCTCCTCCTCCTCCTCCTCCCCCTCCTCCTCCTCTTCCTCCTCCTCCTCCTCCTCCTCCTCCTCCTCCTCCTGCTTCTCCCTCCTCCTCCTCCTCCCCTGGCCGCGACAGGAGCGTCGCCGGCGACTTCCGCCTGGAAGGCCTCGGAAACTGGGCCAGCGCGGGGCCGGCCTTCCGCGCGGCCGCCCTGTTCGGGGGGGAGCTGCGGCACCCGGCGTCGTACTGGTCCATGCTTCTTCTGGGGCGCAACGTTAGGTCGGGCATGTGGTTTTGCGATGGAGCGCGTGACGTTCCCGCGCCAAAAAAAGGGATGGACGCCCTGGGGTCTCAGGGTTGGGTTTCTCGTGGAAGGTTTCTTGTGGATTGGCATCCACTATCAGCGCACCGCACCCAAAGGCCACTCTGGCGAAGGTCCGCTCCTGGGTGCAAGCGACCTCTGGGGACCGGGGCCAGGATCCGCGGGGCGGCACTACAGTTAGGTCGGGCATGTCCCCCTACAGGCTGATTTTGGGCGGAAAAGAAAAATACTCCTAAAAATATACCACAACAGCCAAAAAATGCTAAAACATCGTCCCTTGACTATTTCTTGACTATTCTTGTGTACTCATCCTGTAAAGGGACATGCCCGACTTCAGCGCAACGGGTCCTCGTCGTCCAGATCAGGCCATCGGGTATATGTGTACTGGGGGACGCCTCCCCACCCCGCTCCACTAACCAGAACTGCCGCCACCCGAAAGAAAAACACCAGCTACGGCAGACCTGGTTTTTTGACTCTGGCCAATTTAGGGGCTCCAGGGCCCTACCACTAACCGGGTCCCCTTACCTGGGGTCCTGGCTATACCCGAGATCATCGGTCGCCATATCCTCATCAGGATCGTCGGGCGGATGCGCTGGTGGCGCGCCGACAGGAGGCGGCGCACCTCCGCGATCGGAGTGAGGGCACTTGATCGAGCTCCTGCTCCGCGCGGTCTCTCGCAGGCGTGGGCAGGGCAGGGGCCGCTGGTCATGGATGGCCACGGCTGCACTGTGCAAGACGACTTCCGCACACTGCCGTCGTGCAGCCGCGCGTTGCAAGCGGCATCCGGCTCTGGCACCAAGCATGCTGAAAAAGTACCGCAGCGTACGCATACGGAGCAGTAAGCTCTACGATCCCCCAGCGCAGATGAGAGGGCAGTCGCTGAGGAGGGCGAAGGATAGTGGCGAGCCATGGTGGCGAGCCGGTGCTGGGTCGTCGGCTCCGCCACGACGTCCTGCGGCATGCTGTGCAGGGCCGCGGCGTCAGCGGCGAGGGCGTCGGCGCGCGCCGGCTTCGAGGCAGGCGGCGGGTAGCGGTGGAAAGCCCTGCCGCCAAGCTCCCGCCCCGCCGAGGTGACTCGTTTCAGGTCGGGCGTGTTCCCCTACAGGCGGCCCTTGGGCGAAAAATGAAAAATATCCCGAACATGTTCAAACACATATATTCAAATATAGGGAAAACATCGTCCGCTGACTATTTCTTACTATTTTCGAATATCCCCCCTGTAGAGGGACAGGCCCGACAGAAGACTTCTTTTTCGCGACGCAACGCAGGCGCGGCGGCAGAGGACCCCTTTTAAACGCGACCCTGGGGCGTAAAACACACCCAAACCCTCGGCGACAGCCGAGCGCCTCATGTACACTACCAGTCATCCAAACAATAGCTCTGCTCAAGCGCGCTGCCGGCAACAGTGTTCGACGCTATCTTCCGGAGAAAGCCTGGCAACCTTCGCCAGGGGGGAAGCGGGTCCTAAGGGAAATGAGTGCTGAGGCTTTCCGCCGTTTTCGAGCTCTCGTCGGGGGCGTCGGGCTCGAAGCGCGGCTGGCGGATGTGCGCGGCCGGAGGGGGGGGGCCAGGGATAGAAATAAGAAGAGGTGCCAAAAGATCTGGGGAGGTATCAAAGCTCCCGCCATGATACAGATGGAGAAAAAAATGGAAACGCACCGCTTGGATCGCGCCTGGGCGGCGGCCCCATCCGCTCGGCGGCGGCCCCGTCCGCGCTCGAACCGCCTTGAGACTGTCCGACTCCTAATTTAATATCATAACGAACGAGTGTCGGATGAGTCTCAAACTCTGCACGACAGTGTGTAAATTCACACACCAAACGCGCCCGATGGCGGTCTCAAAGCGGTCTCAAACAGCCTCAAAGGGTCTCAAAGTGACCGAAACCCTTGGCGCCGAGCACATCCGCGAGTCTCACATTGTCGCAAAGCGCTGCGAAACCCTCGGCGCCGAACGCAATGGCGCGTCTCGAAGGGTTCCAAATAGCCCCGAAACTCTCGGCGCCGAGTACATCCGCGAGCCTCACATGGTCTCACAGCGCCACAAGACCCTCAACGCCGAACGCAACCGCTCGTCCTCAATGCTTTCAAATCGTTCCGAAACCCTCGGCGCCGAGCCCTTCCTCAAGTCTCACATGGTCTCGCAAAGCCACGAAACCCTCGGCGCCGAACACATTCGCGCGTTTCAGAAAGTCCCACGATGGCCAGAAACTCCTGGCGCCGAGCACGTCCGCGCGACTCAAGTGCCCTTGCAGAGCCACCAACCAATCACGCGGGAGCTGGAGCGCAGAGTGCATACTCCACCGCGTGTGCATGTGTGTGTGCGTGCGTGCGTAGTGGTGTGTGGTGCGCGTGCGTGGTTGGTGGTATGTGCGTGCGCGTACATAAGGCGACGCGCTGCAATGCGACCACGTTCGATGCAACGCAAGGCCATGCAAAGCAATGGGACCGAAACGTCCGCACTCATTGGACTAAATGTGGGCATCGCGCTTTCGCGCAAGGCATTCAGTACCACTGCAACCTCAACGGCGACGCCTCGAATAACGTGGCCCCCAGGCGAGCGCGGAATCCATTTCCAGGCATTTCTTCTCGGACTGTATCCACCCCCCCTAATCATCACCCCTTTCTTTGCCGCCCCCAAAAAACGGGGCCTGAGGGAAACGTGTCTTGAAGTTTTTCGCCGTTTTCGAGCTCTCGGGGCCCTCCACGGGCCCTGGGACTGTCAGAAAACGGTTCGGAATGAAAAGCTCGTCCTGGGGGAAGGCCCCAGGGGCTGGGACTCATTTCTGTGAGGACCCGTTTCACCATGCCCACGCGGACCATGTCCAATTTGGCTTGGAGGACCTGGTGGACACGAGCCCACGCATGTCAGCCTGGTCACCCCAGCGCAGCGGTGGTGCACCGTCAAGGAGGGCCTGAAGGCCGTCCACGACAGCATGGCTGTCGACGAAGATGCGGCAGTGGCCACCAGAAAGAGCAGCGCCAACGTCTCAGCGCACTGCGCCGTCTGGAAGAGGCCGCACATGCGGGTCGAGGACCCCGACCGAGGTCCAGGAGGATCGATTTCCCAGGCGGTGGACGGGAGCAGCAGGGGTGGGGACTCGTTCGGCGGAGAGCGACCCGCCGCTTCTCCTCAATTTGAGTGGCACCATCGTCAGGCTCGAGCTGGCTTCGGCTCGTGGGGGTCCAGGGGCCCGAAACTGGACAGAAGACGTCCGTCGTGACCGCGTCACGACCGCATGGTATGAGGGCTCCCGTCCCTCCCCTTCCTCCTCCAGCCTCAAAAAATAAACAAATAAAAAAGTAACGAGCTCACCAAACCGGTTCGCCAATGCCTAAGGCAGAAGAGGAAGAGGGAGGAGGTCAAAGGATTCCTCCTCCTCATCATCATCATCCTCCTGCTCCTCCTCCTCCTCCTCCTCCTGCTTCTCCTCCTGCTTCTCCTCCTCCTCCTCCTCCTCCTCCTCGGACCTGCCCTGGGGCGCCTTCTGACTAGAACTTCAAGGCGGACCCCGCCATGGCCACGAGGGCGTCCCCCCCAGGAGACTCGAGAGTGTCATGCGGGTATTTCTGACAGGTCGAGCCACGATCCGGGATCCTCGATCGCCCGTGTCTCCGCAGAACTCCTGACACCTGCGTTGCACCTCCCCCCTCCCCCTCTCGGCGGCGAACGAGGTGGGGAAGCGAGAAGAGGCGGGCCTCCTCAGAAGGCTCGGAAGTTCCCCAGCCTTCTGAGAAGATTTCTAAGCCTTCCACGAAGACAGGAGAAACCTTCTCAGAGGGCGCGAGGGCTTCTGAGAAGTCCCGCCGCCTTCTGAGAGGGCCTTCTCCTGCTCATGTCCCCACTCGCGCTCGCCGCCGACCTGCAATGTACCTCCCCCCTGCAGTGGGGGACAGTCCACAAGAGACCTTCCACAAGAAACCCAACCCTGAGACCCCAGGATGTCCACCGATTTTTGGTGTGGGAACGTCGCGCTTTCCACAGCAAAACCATCTAAACCCAAGAAGCCCAGGGCACCCTGGAGGCAGGCAGGGTGCTTCTTGGCATGGGCCTCCACTGTACTCCTTCTCTGCCTCCTCCTGCATGGCCGTTCCCTCCATGGTGGCGGCTGCCAGGCCGAAAGCGGCGCGGCAGCAACCGTGGCGGCGGCCCACGGAGCTCCCGATCCAGGAGTAGGAGCACAGGACGGAGGAGGAGGAGGAGGACGACGAAGACGACGGCAAGGATGAGAAGGATGCGAGGCCGAGGAGAAGGAGAACGAGGGCCTTACAGGAATAGGCGCGCAGGGCGATGAGAATGAGGAAGAAGATGAGGACGAAGACGACGGCAAGGATGAGGAGGATGCGAGACCGAGGAGAAGGAGAAGGAGAACGAGGGCCTTATAATACGCCTGCTCGAAGTCAGGCGGTCAAGAAGTACTAAAAAAAGCGCGCTGCTGGTGCAAGCGCGTGCGACAACAAGTGTTCGCTGCACTGCGCATTGCGAAACACATACGTATCGAAATGTACTGCAAGTTCTTGCTGCAACTGTTACTGCAAGTGGACTTCAAGTGAGATCTAGACAAGCGAGAAGCGTGCGTGCTGCAATAAAGTTCAAGTGGTATACTGAACTCAAAAATCTAGAGCATACTGCTCTGCACCCTCCAATGCTTTCATGAGTTTATCATTCAGGAGCTCGTCAATGCGGGCATGCGAGCCTTCTACATACAGTGGCGATGACACCACTGCAACCCGGTCAAGGCATGGTGCGGTTTCATGTCCTTTTTCGGGAACAAGACACGCGCTTATAAAATGGGGGTCCACGCTTTGAATATCCTTGAACTGCTCCAGATGGACCTCCCAAACCCATCTCCCCGCTTGAGGGTGAGTTGCACGCGTCGACTCACGGTGCAACGATTCCAAGCTAAACTGCCACAGCAAAGATTTTCCAGTATCGGTTTTTGACCGTAGCTCGAGTCCGAAACTGTCCAGCAAACGCAGCAGGAACATGATCTCGCAATCACAAGCAGAATCGCCCTTCAGAGCGAACAGCCGCAACGTTGCGCATGACTGGTACCCCGAGAGGACCAGAAGCACGACTGCGCTGGCCCAGCTGAGAACACGGCCTGGGCATCGCACGGTGGCCAGCACGACATTGTAAAAGTTGTCTTTTTTGCGCCTCGCCGCCTGTTTTGCGGTCAGTGTCTCTTTATTTGCGACGATGGGCTGCTTGTGCAGTGGCAGGTGTAAGGCGAAGAAGACGTCCAACATTTCCCAATCGACTTCGGGCGCCCACTCTTGACCAGCTTTGCCAGCAGTCGCATGACTTGGCCATCGCACAGACCTGGCCACCGTGGAGATACGATTGGAACTGCGTGCAGATGGCTGCGCAGTCTGCTCTCCACCAGGTGTCCAAATAGTCGTAGACATGTTCGAAGACTGCTGCCCCATGACTACGAGACTACTACGCGAAAGTAGTCGGCCTGGACCCCATGTGGTCCTCCAGCGGCGTCTCAGACAGTTTCCCCTCTCGGTGTCCCACCCCGCCCGGCCATCCCTTCTTAGTCCAACACTAGAACTACGCGCGCGCTTCGCGCGCGCTTCTGTTCCTCCGAGGCCCTGGGCGCCAGACATTGACAAGCTCACTCCTGGAAGAGGGGAGGAGGAGGGGGAGGAGGAGGAGGAGGAGGACGAGGAAGACAAGGCGGAGGAGGAGGAGGAGGAGGAGGGAGGGGGAGAACGGAAGGATGAGCAGGAGGAGAAGAAGAGGAGTACAAGTAGAAGGATGAAGAGAAGAAGGAGGACGGCAAAGGCGTCAGCGATTGGGGAGGAAGGGGAGCAGCAGCAGGAGCAGCAGCACCAGGTAC